CTGAGGGTGGAGGCCGGGGGGGAGTGGATGGCCTCCGCGTGAACGGCTGACTTCTGGGTGACTGGGTGGACTAGGGTGGTTTCTTGCCGGTTGTGGCTGCGGGGGAAAGCACGAACATTAGTCATACAGAGAGGGTAATAAGTCGAATAAATATGAAATGATAAATGAAAAGATTATCTGAAATCTTACAGTGAAATGATAAATATGAGGGAATCTGAAGTGATATGATGAAATGATAAATAAGAGCGAATATGAAATTATATAGCGATTATTTTTAAAAAGAACTCTGAAAAGAGAGGAGAAACAGTAGTACAAAAACTTAATTTTAAGATGAAGAACTAAGAAATTTGATCTTCAAGAATGATTCACGTTGGACACGCTTGCGCCCAGGACCTATATGCACTCGCTCGCCTCCAAACACACGTCTGTCTGCGTGTTTGTCAGTTTCATTTGCATGCTATCAAACTGTTAAATAATTGCGTAGATCAAAGGCAATTTAAATATCCCTCTACTTCGTCCTCGGTCTTTCAGTAAGGAACCATCGACCTATTAACTTCGCTCTCTCCGGGTTGCAAGGACTAGTCTATGGAAGTTTAGATAGACCTTGGCGAGGACAGGCTTGTGGTGCGAAGTTTATGGCGCTCTAATGGGACTAGCGAAAGCGGTGTCCCCTATCCACACTCGAGAGGGAAAAAGTATATAAAACACTAAAAAAGGGATTTATTTTCTCCATTTAAAGAAAGAGGCAAACGCGAAAGCGTTTTTATTTTATTTTAGAAAACCGACCAGATATTGCTTTCACTTATGCATCGCCGAGATTCTCACAGCGGGAAGGTCAGTTTCGAGATAATCGCCAGTTTTTATTTCTTTCGCCAAGTGGCCTCTAGACCTTCCAAGGTCACGGGTAAGGTGCGAGGAAAGGCCAAATCCCTGACTTTTTAATAACCAAAACCCTGGACTTCCTGCTGCTGCTGTTGCAATCGGAAATCGAAGTGTTAGACTTTCCCTTCCGTCTGCTTTTAATAACAGAAACATTTATCTTTCTTTATCTCTGTCATTAATGGTCGAAACACTGGGCCTCTCCTTCCTCCTCGTTTTAATAAATACAATCACTAGATGATAAAAAAATGGACTCCCCCCTCACCCCAACACCAGTCTCCCCCAACCTTGCTTTTCAAAATCAAAACGATGGACAAGACGCGGCACTCCGGGAGATACGGTTTCTAAACAATGTAACGACAACGGAAACTCAGCCGGAGGACGCGGGGAGGACTCTTTGGGGGGGTGGGGGGCTCTGGGAGGACTCTGGGAGGACTCTGGGAGGACTCTGGGAGGACTCTGGGAGGACTCGGAGTTCGGGTCATGATATCTGACTACATGATTCTACCGATTTGCGAGGCCCTTCGTCACGGCGACGATGCAAAAACTTCCTGGTGTATCCTATAGTTTACGTTCCACAGGAGCAGCGGCGGGAACGGGACGAGAGAGAGAGAGAGAGAGAGAGAGAGAGAGAGAGAGAGAGAGAGAGAGAGAGAGAGAGAGAGAGAGAGAGAGAGAGAGAGAGAGAGAGAAGAGAGAGAGAGAGAGAGAGAGAGAGAGAGAGAGAGAGAGAGAGAGAGAGAGAGAGAGAGAGAGAGAGAGACATACAGACTAACAGACAAACAGACAGTCAGACAACAGCAGTGGAGAGGGAGAGAACGTGTACATTTTCGCAAGGAGCAAACGACGCGTTGCTTTTCCCAGCTCTTCCCACACAGAGGCAGGCCGTCCGTGAATGTCCTCGTACGTAGCAGCGGATATACAATGTGTCCCCCTTCCTTGCATGTAACAGTGTATTCAAAGGTGTTACAATAACAAATTTTGATTTTTCTCAAAATTCATTTACTTTTTTGCGTATTAGTCTCAGTGTTTTATTCACTCACTCTGATCTTCTTTCTTTCCCTCTATTACGTGAATTCTTCCCCATCTCTTTTCTTTCTCTCTTTCTCTCTATCCCTCCTCGTCCATCCACCTATCTCTCCCCCTCCTCTCCCCTTCTCTTCGCTCTTTCCTTCTTTCCCTTCTCTTCTCTCTCTATCTCATTCTCTCTCTCTCTCTCTCTCTCTCTCTCTCTCTCTCTCTCTCTCTCTCTCTCTCTCTCTCTCTCTCTCTCTCTCTCTCTCTCTCTCTCTCTCTCTCCTCTCTCTCTCTCTCTCTCTCTCTCTCTCTCTCTCTCTCCTCTCCCCTCTCCCTTCTCCCTTCTCTCTTCTCCCTTCTCCCTCCTCCCTCCTACCCCCTCACTTTCTCTCCGTTCTCTCTCCTTCCATCATTATCATCATTACGTTCCAATCCCACCTTTCAGGAAACGTCAAATAGACAAAGGTCGCGGATTGCGACGTGCAACATGGGGCAACATTTTTTTTCTTTTTTTTTATACATTTTTTTTAATCGCATGCATAATAATCTTTACCTTCCCACGCTTGTTTCTTCCTCAAAGCCCTTTCATTCTTTCTATTCTCTC